TATCTGGTCACATGGGCGGCAAGCCACTCCCATCTGGTCACATGGGTGGCAGGCAACTTCATATCTGGTCACATGGGCGGCAAGCCACTCCCATCTGGTCACATGGGTGGCAAGCCACTCCCACAAAGGAGGCCACACCCACAGAGTAGGTTCGAACAATTTTTGAAACCCACCACTGAGTTTGATCAAAAGTTTTATCAAAATAATACAGTCACTCTAATCGTACACGGGTCTTGCTTTTTGTTAGCTTTTCATTGTGATGTAAACAGTTTTAAAGATATCCAAAATGTGTTTCTGTAGAAACTAAGAAAATTTGTTGATTGGGGGACTTCCAGAGGAAGAAATGACAGACTAAAGATGGATCTGAAATGCAGAACTGACAACCATAGCAGAATGAAGAGCCAGCAAATGGATCGGCTCTTCGTAATTCCTATTCAGACAAGGACAGACTTGAGATCATCCACATGTGCACCAAATAGTTGCTCCTCATGAGATTGCAAAATAGTGGACTCAGGTGACTTAGAACTTTGCGAGATGTGGGAACAGCCATCTGTACCTTTGAAAGTGCACTAAATGTGCATGCTTTCTTTTCTAATTACAAGATCACTATCACTTTTACTAACCATTAATTGCTTTGTTAGCTGCTTTTCAGCCATTATGACAAGTTTGACAGCACCAGGTGAGTTCCTTCAATCTTCAGTGAAATAAAGTTTTAACTACAAGAAGTTTTTAAAAATATTTTTTTTTCTGAAAAATTCTCAATCATCCAGGTCATGGTTGACCCAAAAGTATTTCCCCAAAAGGCAATTGAACTTTCTTCGTTCAATACGAACGCTTTTCGTATTTGAAAACATTTTGCTTTTCATAACCACCCCCCCCAAAAAGTCATTTTTAGAAAAGCATCTTTGCGAGAAACATCAAAATGATTAAAATGTTAATTTTAGGAAGTAACAAACAGATTTAAGAATCCAGATAAATTTGAAATAAGATTTTGGAATTAATTACAAAGAATACTTCCCATGGGAAAATTCTTTTGTTCTGAGTTTTTTTAAAGAAACATAAGATTTTAAAAAATGGACACTGGAGGGAACAAAATATTACAATTAAAGAAGAACACAAACTGCAAAAAAATTGTAAAGACTTACAATTACAGAATCTGGACAAATTTGAAAGATATTTTTTAGTAATGGATTCAAACATTAATTTTAATACTATACTATCAACAGAGACATCTGCCTCTATGGGGAAACTGCCAAAATATATTACAGCAGAGGAACAAGTTTTACTTGACAAGATTGAGACTGAATTGAAACTGGATTTACAAATTACAGGCTACAAGAATGCAGTGGAAAAAGATGTTAACTGACAAAAAGAAACTGGCTGACTTAATAATTAAAAGCGATATATAAACAGTAAACCAAGAGTGTGAGATGGATAATTTTGGATTTACGAAAAAGGCTTGTTAAAGCTTAGAAGAATCTCATGAGAAGGGACAAAAAAAAAAAGATCTTAAATTTTACGACATCATTTGAATGGATTAAAGATTAAGATTGTTAGAAGTAAAAGAAAGGAATATAAAATTGGGTTATTTGACCAAGTTTAAAATATTATTTCTGATTATTCTGAAGGACCTTTGCTGATACCAGGACTGAAATGACAATACTTTATGGATTGGCATATAGATAAAAGATGAGATAGAGGAAGAAGAGATCATTTCTGGTATTTTAAGAGGAGGTGATATGTTAGTAAAATTGTTT